TAAAATCAGATCAAAACTCTTCAAAGCCCCAGATATCGAATATCCAGATCTGTGCATATAGCTGACTTTTACCGAAAGCAATATGTGATTTATGTATATTATTGGAAAGAAAGAATCTGTTTAGGTGTCATCCCAATGGACTAATGCTTGCGGCAAGAATTTTGCTTTATTGAGCCGCACATAGTTCTAGATGAGATATCGTTTGAAATTTTCACCAAAAATGGTAAAATATATAAAACAAGGAAGAGCTAAGTTGATGTAAACCAATATTTTATACTTGAAAGTCAAATAGTATCGTTTGATTTTATATATTTCAATAGTAGCGGGACGGCTCTATTCTTCATTCAGTGAAATTACTAGAGCAATTTGTAAACTAAATTTACTCCAAATTATGAAAATTATATTAAGTATATTATGATCCGATTCAACCCATTTCGACACATTAAACATCTATTATCGAAAATTTCTTTTTATATTTTATTAGAATTTAACATACAAGATATCTTACACGCTGAGCAATAGTTCAAAAAGTCAACCAGGTAACTTATATTCAACTAGGGTTCAGTTAGTTTAGACAACGCAAAGCTTACCCTGATCATAAGCAGCCATCAGTGCTGCTTGCTTCAAGAGCATAGTTCAAATTTCGCTGAATTAATTTGTAACTGAAGGTATGCTTGCAACAGTTGAGACTTGGTATTAAACTTTATCAACCTAATATGGGCAGAACTCATCAGACTATGAAAATGCTAGAATTAAAGCAACCAACAGCAAAGCAACGGTTTTGCAAGGCAATTTGACCTAATGAAATGTTGACTTTAATACTGTTTATTGCAATTATACGATTGCAGCAGCAATTTGGCAGTTAAGAATTCAAAGAAAGCCGTACAAAATGGCAGCGTAAAGTAAAAATCGATTCAAGATTAACCAACACGAGTATTGTTAATTGTACATAAATACATTTAACTTCAAAATCCATTGAAAGAATGTAATTCGTTAACGATCAAATCACTGCTCACTTGAACTTGGCTTTTGTTGTGAAATATTCACTTTGCGTATATGCTCTAAAATTAACAGTATTCACGACTTTAATTATTAGAATGTCCCGTTAGAGTATAATAATTGTGTTCACCTAACGGTAGTTTGTATCAGCAAAAACTAATCGAGGTAGATATAGGGTTATATACTTGTATATATAAATGATTAGGATCCGGTGACTATCTGTCCGTCCGTCTGTGCAAGCTGTAACTTGAGTAAAACTTAAGATATCTTTATGAAACTTGGTACCGTAAGACGATTGGTATTTCAGTTGGGCGTATTCGGACCACTGCCACGCCAACAGAACGCCATTAATCAAAAACAAATAAATTGCCATAACTTAGCTCCACAATAAAATACAGAACAGTTATTTGGTATACAGGATCACATTATAAACCGCTAAAACTATAATAACAAAATTCACTGCGAACAAATATTTTTAGCACCTCTATCGATGTGTGAAAATGGATGAAATCGGATGACAACCCCGCCCACTCCCCATATGACGGTACTGGAACCGCGTTCAAAATTAGACAGTAGATGTGGCACTGCCCACTTTTAGGTAAAATTCATATCTTGGGATCTGCTTAACCAATTTCAACCAAATTCGCTACATAATATTCGTCTCACATTTCTATATTATAGTGCGAAAAGGGGCGAAATCGGATTACAGCCAAGCCTATTTCCCAAATAACACCATTTTAAATTCCATCTTATTTTTTCACTTTCCACTATGCAAATCAAGCAACAATGATTGTATTGGGAAAAACTTTGCGTGAATAATGCGTTTAAAGTATGCCGCCTTGTGACCAAAAATTGTCTAAATCGAACCAAAACTGTTCAAGCTCCTGATATGTACTGAATAGGTGTGCCTATAGTTGACTTTTTACCGAAAATATAGGTCAATGTCTAAAATATATAACTGAAATTCATACAATAAAATAAATAAATAAAACTCTCAATAATAGTATGTGAATAAGATCCGAAAAAAACAAAATCCGGTTTGAGGTTTGTTTTTTAGATAAAAAGTAATATGTAAAACTTTTCAATTTCATTGAAATATTCCCAATAAAATTTAATATAGCAACTAGCTGCCACAAGACAAAAGCAGTAATAACTTTGATGATAATTCAAAATTTGATTTGATTGACTATTCAAATATTAATTATATTGCAATTTTTTCGAATTTCTAGGCTCAAATACCATCGGATATAATGATAAATTAAAGTTTCTCAAATATAAATTTATAAATTGCATATATATATTATGTATGGTATATATAATATTATATATATATATATTATGTAACGTTATACACAACACAGTCAGTCACAGTCACTAGTAGAGATATTCATATATTAACGATATATTTAGCTTAGCGATTCCGCCCTGCCCAAGGATTATTATCCTCACCCTTTACCGGCGACGAATTCGTCTCCCTCGTTGAAAGTGTCCCCCCAGGGAACCGTCCACTTTAACACAGGTCGGTTTCGACCTGCTTATTCCCTCGTCTTTAGTTTTTTTGTTTGTATTCATTGTTGCTGGGTTACAACAAACACCTTCCACACCAACTTAATGATGACATCTCACCTTTTTAATACAAGTATGTATGTATTAGGTCAAGTAAAAAGTTCATTCGGTTTTTTTTATTGATTTTTCAAGAGATGATAACTTTGTGTACATTTGTCCGATTTTAGTCAAATATGCGCCGTTTGATTCGTAAACTTGTTGTCAACGAGATGTCAACTTCATTATAACTCTCGTAGAAGGCTGTGTTCCTATTGGCAAAAAACTCGGAGAGCCAATTTTCACAGGCCTCTCTTGAGGCCAACTTCTCACCATTAAGCGCGTTCGCCATGGACAGTAAAAGATGGTAATCACGTGGTGCATTAGGACCTCCCATCCGAGCTCCCGGAGCTTCTGGCGCGTCACCAAAGACGTGTGTGGCCTGGCGTTGTCCTGATGGAACATTATTCGGCCTCTGTTGACCAAAGATGCCCTCTTCTGGATGAGTGCTGCCTTCAAGCGGTCAAGTTGTTGGCAGTAGAGGGCCGAATTGAGCGTTTGGCTATAGGGGAGCAGCTCGTAGTAGATGATTCCATGCCAATCCCACCAAACACACAGAAAAACCTTCCTGGCCGTCACTCCGGTCTTGGCCACCGTCTGGGCCGCTTCTCCGAGCTTTAACCACGACCGTTTGCACTCGATGTTGCCGTATGTGACGCATTTTTCACCGCCAGTCGCAATCCGCTTCAGAAACGGGTCGATTTTGTTGCGACTCAGCAGCGATTTGCAGATGGAAATTCGGTCCATCATGTTTTTTTGCGTTAGTTCGTGTGGCACCCAAACATCGAGCCTTTTTTTTTAATTCAAGATTATCCAAATCTTCAGCAATTAAATAAGTGCTCACGTGACGTCCTGTTTCCACTATTTCCATGATTTTATCGCAATTTTCGACGACAGGCCTTCCGAAGCGTGGTGCATCTTTGACATCGAAATTACCGGAACGGAACCTAGCAAACCACTTTTGTGCTACACGGTCGTTTACAGTATCGGGCCCATAAATTACAAGGTACAATTCAAAAGTTCCAGGACTTTTTAAACAACGCGGCTTCTAGTGGCGCCATCTGTCTAAAATCGTTATCCCTCAATTGTGTATTCTTCAGTGTTGCTGAGATATCGCGCTACATGTGACATTACATTTGTAGTGTCGGTCGGAAAATGAGCATCGAACAAAGAGCCAACATTAAGTTTTGTTTTAAACTTGGTAAAACTTTTACCAAAACTCATCAAATGATGAAACAAGTTTATCGCGATGATTGTCTATCCCGTAGCCGTATTCACGAAAAAAACACGAAAATTGTGCGTGAATTCAATAAAAAAGAGCCGAAATCATCTCTTTAATATATGGAACCGGAATTATCAATATCCACAGCGTCGATTTCTCGTATTTTGACAGAATTCAACATTCAGGAGACGTCATTAAAAAGGCCAAAAAGAACCCAAACTTTTTGTATTCGCCTGATATGGCACCCTGCCATTAGGCCGGTGGGCGCGGTCCCGCCCCTTATAGGTTTAATGTGCATATCTCCTAAACCGCTAATGCTATAATAACAAAATTCACTGGAAGCAAATGTTTTTGGAACCTCTGCCTACAGTGTGAATATGTTGAAATCGGGTGGCAACTCCGCCCACTCCCCATATAACGGTACTGTTAAAGACTACTAAAAGCGCGATAACTCAAGCACTAACACGCCAGAGACATTAAATTTTATCTCTGGGATGGTATGAGATGACTTTATAGGAACCGCGTTCAAATTAGACAGTGGGCGTGGCACCGGTGCATAACGTTTTTTTCATATTTCTATTTCATAGTGCCAAAATGGGCGAAAGCGGACTACAACCACGCCTATTTCCATTTAACACCATTTTCAATTCCATTCGATTCTGTCACTTTCCACTACGCATATCGAGCAAAAATGATTGTATCGGGGTAAAACTTTGCGTGAATAATGCGTTTGAAGTATGCCACCTTGTGACCAAAAATTGTATAAATCGAGTCAAAACTGTTCAAGCCCCTAGGTACTGAATATGTGGACCCCAGTGCCTATAGCTGACTTTTTACCCAAAATATCGGTCAACATAGAACAAGGCGGCAAGATCCGCAAAGAAATCTAAACCGAGTATACCATTTGACTTTGCGAGAGTATAAAATGTTCGGTTACATCTGAACTTAGCAGTTCCTTACATGTTAAATTTATAATATTTTTCAAGATTAAACAAAAAAAAATTATTATGAACATAACACAAGTTATGTAACAGGATAACTAATATAATTCTTTTTACTCTAAGCTCTACTATGTTTGCTTTGACTTAAATGGGTATAACAAATTTTTCCATTCCCCACACTTTACTTCTTTTTCTTTACTTGCCTCTCTTCTATATTTTCCTATGTTTCATTGCAGACATTCAACTACAAACATCGACAGTAACCCGAATAGTACCGACGGTGGCTCTAAACATTGTGTCCGTGGTGGTGTGTATACCATAAATGCAATAGACCAAACAAACATAAATCTACATAAATAAATACTAAACAATAATTATTTCTCACATTTTAGTCGATTTTCTTTCACTAAAACACCTCGAATGCCCTCCTCACAACAAGTCAAACAGATACCATTATGTCCATAGCAGGTATGCACCATTTATGTACCCACTATATACCTTGTTTGTACCTATGAATGTACATATGCCCCTGCACCAATATATTATGCTTAAGAACTCTAATGAGAATTTGCGTCAAAAAAGATCAACGTTTCAGTAAAAATGTTCACTGAATGTCGCAGATATTTCATCGGCATCATCCTCGAATAATGTTTATATTGGTCCCACATTTTATGGAATTGAATATGAGTACATAAGACAGAGATTACATTATATTCGTATTTTGGATTTTGAGTAGATTTATACATAATAAAGTTTAGTTTTTAGTTAAATATATTTTTGATTAACGTAAAACTCCCATGAGGAGCATAAAGAATTTTCTTTAATTTTATTTAATTATTTCCGACTTAAAAAATATATTTAGTTGTGACCTTAACTCCTGTGGTAGATATAATGTAAGGTTTAGTAAAAATATCCATTAATTTTGCATTAAATTTAGGGTTATATTTAGTAAAAACAAAAGTCGCATATGCATTTGATAACTTTTTGCCATTATGAGGATTATTTCTCTATGACACTCTCATAGACATCGTCGTCCCTATTTGCTGGGACACTCGTTTGTCACAAACTTCTCTGTCGGCGAATTTTTAGCATCAAAATCATTCGCCAAAGATAGAAACAGGTAGTAATTACTTGGTGCTAGGTCCGAACTAAAAGGTGCTTCTATAAGACAAACAAGCTCTTCTGGCGAGTCACTCTTAATATTTTAGGTCTGGCGCTGTCCAGATGGACCACAATCCCTTCCCCATTGACCAAAACTGGCCGCTTCGGTGTATTTGCTTCGGTCAGATAGTTCAACTGTTGACAGTACAAGTCCGAATAATAAGAGCTTGACCGTAAAGGGTGAGATCATAGTAGATGAGACCCTCTCAATCCAACTGAAAAATCTTGCTAACAGTGAATTGGCTATTTGTTTGTCCAGGCTCATCGCGATTTAACCACGACCTTTTTCACTTGCCCAACTCAGAAAGAGAATCGACGATGTTTATTATGTACTTAATCCCTATTTTCGACAATTCTCATACACTTTATCACTCTGATATATCGCCAGATACAGATTGCTAGAGCCAGCTATTGGAAGAATGGTGAATTCCTTTTTACGAAACCAAGAGCCAATGTAGAGGCCAGTTAGACCCATCTGAGATAGCAGGCATAACGATTATAATGAGACATAACCACCCTTCTTCACAGTATCGATTGATATATATAGCCTAATATTCGAAACAAAAAAAAAATAATTTTATGCCTACCGAGGACCTACTCAGAACTATGAATATTTATTTAAAAAGTTATAAAATATTTTAAAAATTGAAAGCTTTTGGTCTTTGTTCGCACTCAAGCTGATCCTTAAACTAGAAAATGAGGAAATCTTGGTTGTTAGCTGGCTTAGGCCTACGGCCAATGCAAGCTGGCGTACAAACACAAAAATTGGCATTATTCCAACGTTCAAGAAATTTTTACATTGAATCAAGAAAAATTACATGCATTTTGTATTAGTTATTTTCAAATTCTTTGCTTGCTTCTTTACTCTCTTCTTTGCATCTCTTTTCCTTAAGCTAGCTGGCTTCATTTTGTCTTCATATTTTTTTCCATCGCATGCATTTTTGTATGCAACATACCTATATTATTAGCTTTTTACCCAATATGTGTGAACACATAGCTTTACTTCGATATATGTGACGCATCTCCCTAATGTTCTTATACTATTTTCCAAGATTTCAAGCTTGTCTTAGATATTTCTTGAAAATTTCTTAAATGCTTTGATCGTTTGCTTTAAACTAGCAAACAGTTCAAGGTAATTTTTAATGCAATAAATCACATCTTGCGAAATGCATTTACGAAAAAGAAATTGGCTCTTTAGGAAATGCCTACGATATTGAGAAGTTTCATTAAATATAAAAAATTTTTTTTGATGCTACAATATGTAAATGGAGATATATGTATACGATATATTCCTAAATCAGGTGAAACACAATATTAATAAATCAAAAATTGTATCTTTTGACTGAAAATATGAGATATAGTCATATTATTCGAAACATTGTAAAAATTGCTAATAAAATCCACTACATCGGTTTCCTAAAATTTGTTATTAAAATCATTATACAGCGTGATTTCATGTTTTAATTTTATTTTTTTTTTCAACTTACAGAGCAAAAGATTATCACATGATATTCTTAACATAAATGTTTATGGGAATTGAAGATAAAACTTACAGCCATTGACAAAGCTGCTTTAAAAAGGTTTTTATCAATTTTGTTTCATTCTTACTGTAGAAATAACCACCTTAAGGTCAGTTTGGCACCATATTTCTTTTCTTTTTTCATGGTTCAAGATTCAAAGAAATTTTGTGTCATTTCTCAATAAAAAGTAAATAATTAGAAAGTATCCACCTAATTTTTCTGAAAAAAATTTTACACAATTATTTATTCTCAGTCGTCGTCGGTTTGCGATATTCCTCGAATTGTCAAAGCGCCTATTTGTAGAGAAAATATACATAACATTTTCTTTGTTTGCATAACAATCATAAAAAGCATATAAGTACTAACTTAGGCTTGAATTAAACATCCCCAAGAAATTAGTTTGTCGCATTGGATATTACATATAGTTCAAGTTATTTTTGCTTTTGATTATGCACACATATGTTTTATTAAAAAAGGCGATTTTTGAGAAATACAAAGATAAACTACTCTATCAATTGTTTTAAAATTTTAAGGATACGAGTAAATTTATTCATAAAATTAAATATTTTTCGAGTTACATGCAATCTTCGACTCCACCGCTGCAATAAATCTGCCTTATCCGTGAATGAAACATAAAAAAAAATTTTCAATTAGTAGATATTGTACGAATTTATGGTCGAAAAAAATTGTGTTTTACCCAAAAATTAATTCGCTTTCGTCTGGGAAAATTCGATTTTTGTCAGATAATTAATAGGTCTTTGTATGGAAAACTATACGCGAATACAACAGGCAGAAATATTTGATAGTGATCGGATCATTTGTCTTTGAGTAGACTATAACTCAAAGACTGTTTTAGATATCGATTTAATACAATATACAAGTATATTATATATAATACAAGTATTGTATCATGTATCTATAATGTGTTTATTGGTATATTGGAATGTGTGCTTGGAAATTCTTTCTATTTTTCTCTTCGCAGAAATTTACCTACATACATATTTACATGGGAGACTTGTTTCCACTTAAAAACGAGATGTCACATTTCTGTAACACATTTTTCACTTTTGCACCATTTTTTGCTTTTTCATTGTACATATCAGGTAATTAGATTTCTACCTGGCGGTTGAAATGTCGTCGTGCAGATGCATTAATGCTGGTATTTTGGATTTGTACTACACGCTCGCCAAAAGACAAAACAATGGCAATTCGGGGGTTTCACCTTCAGTGGATTCGTCAAACGCCTTCTCTTCCAATCATAACTCACGTGTTAATGCGGGTTACTTGACGTTTCTTCTTCAAGGGTTACTCATGTTACTTAGGAGACCCGAATGTCTGCGGAAATTGACGCATTACTTAATATAGCGTAGCAACCAAAGTACTCCGCATTGTAATGGCAGGATCTCAAATTTTGACAACTTCAGATAATGTATCTTTGGAAGTTTAAGAGAAGATAAACTAGTGGTGCCTCTGAAGATATAAAGCATAAGTTGCAGTAACAAAACAAAAGTGTTCTGCATTAATAATACTACATGGGGAAACATCTAGTTTCCATTTAATGGCCAACATACGATTTGAAGATACAACTGTCATATTGCGCGAATCCGTCCAAATATCATAAAGGAGTTAAAAACTTAAATATATATCAGTGAGGTATTATTCATTAAATTCTTAGAATTGATTTAAGAATGAAATATTCTGAACTCTTTAATTATTTTTGTACAGCACTAGATGACGGGGTTTCTGAACAAAAATGACAACGCAGATTCACATAAAACGAGTTGTACAGCCAAAGCTTTTAATATTGAATTGGACAAAAGGAATATGCAGAAAGTATTACTAAAATATGTTTAGTTAAGCGTGATTGTTTGGATTTGTATTATATCCAGATATATGAATGTATGTTTGCATGGAAATATGTACAATTTGTATATAAAATATGATTTATCCCTGTACTGGATTGTTATTAAAAAAGAGAATTACATAATAAAATTCTCTTATATATTTGAGGTCATTAAAGGTAAGTAAGTTTTTCATTGGTGAAACAACTAGTTTTGGGAAACAAGCAAAATCACCCCAAATGTAAAGTCTAAAATGTAGACCCTAGTGGATTACATCTTGGGTTTTCCAGAATTGGCCTGCAATGTTCAATACAAAGCAGGCACATATATCAAAAAAGCTCTCAATGTAAGCATTATCTCGGATGGGTTGTGCAGAGATATCAGGGACAATTTTTTGTGGACATAATATGACTTCTTATAATCTTAAACAACATAATTTTTAGCAGGACTTCACACACAGTACAATGTTTTTGGTCACATATGAATATTATGTGGTACGCATACGAATAAATAACAGTGTAAATTATTTACTCCTACTTTTTTATGCTCCATTCAGATTGTGTATCGAGCACACTTACATCTTTGCTATTAACGTGAAAAAGCTCGAAAGGTTGAGAAGCTTACGCTTTAACGGTCATAAGAGTTAAGTGTAAAAAAGCTTAAGTAGCTTTCCAAATCTGATTAGTAAGTTATACCAACAATACTTTTAAGATAGTGTCCAATGACATCAAAACAGTTTGAGTGGCAGTGGAATTTGCGACGTTAATAACATTTTGATTTATTTACCATGAACTTAGTTTACAGTATGAAAAATGAAATATAGGATATAATACTCCCTGAGTACTTGCGGAGTAGGAATGGTTTTATCCCTTGAAGTTCCACCTCTACTGAATCTATTATTAAAACATTGAAAGAAACACAAACGAAATATTCTTTTATTAAAAAATCGATGCTCAATTTTCAAGCATAGGTAATACTGACCCATACTTATTCACAAAAATTAAGTTTTTATTTGATCTCAGTCATACATAAGTATGTAAATAATAAATATCTTCGTCGCATGCTTAACAGAATCAGATGTCTGCGTTAGTCTTTGAATTATGTCTCAATTAAATATCATTTTATTTATTTCACTGAAGTGTACAATGAGTAAAGGATGTTATGACTAATTATTTCATTGAGATAAACTTTATTATCTTTTGTTGTCATCTAAAGACTTAATCCTTTACCCACCAATTTAAAATAAAAATATATACAAACTCAAACATATAATTGTGATTATTTGAGCGCTTCCTGTTCGATTCGTGCTATTAAAATCGTGCTCAGAAGTTTATTTCTAAGAAAGGTCATTTACTTCAGAAGAAGATGAGGATCTGAATGTCACCTAGCTACTAGTTTACCCGTAATATTCATAGATCTAACTCCGACTGTAAGCAGGGCGTTTAAATAAGTATATGTATATATATACAAGTATATATGTACGTATATACTAAAACATACTACTTAGCATATTAAAATAATTGTTTTCTGTCATGGTAAGACTTCGTTTAGCTCAAAAAATGCACCGCTACTTTTGTTCATATTTTACGATTATCGCAAACCACACTAAACTATGCCAACATTCTTTAAAATGCTCGCTTTAATATAGGTTTTTTCACTTCCTCATATGTAGCTGTCGACTTCGACTTGGCGTATGCCGTATGTAAGTATTTAAGTACATATACAGTAGAATCCATTTATTATAACTCCGCCTATATTGACCAACCGGTTATTATGACGTAATTACACTACGAAGTTTGGTTTTCATATAAAATTCTTTATAAAAAAGTCGGATATAATGACTTCCCTAACATTGACATGTCGCTTATTATGACCCATTTTTAATAAATTATGTCCGGTTATAATGACCGACATGATTCTTAACACCTCTGGTTGATTCTCGACGACGTTCGGCACGTGGCTCGTTTTTGTTTGGAATCTCAGTGAGTAATTGACGCTTGAAGGTCACGCATTCTTTTTCGTTTGTTACTGTGAAAAAATGTCATCTCAACGACGTAAAGCATTTACAATTCAGGATGTGTCGCAAAGGAATTTGGCGTGGTCATTCGACAACTTCAATGATTTTTAAAAGCAAGAACCGTATTAAGCAATCGTTCAATTCAAATGTTTTGAAACCGAAGAGGCTTTGAAAATCACGACAAGAAAATATTGATCAAGCATTATTTCAATGGTTTAAAAACATGAGAAACAAAGGAATACCTGTCAGTGGCCTTATGCTATAGGAAAAGGCAAATGGTTTTGCCGCGCGTTTTGGTATTTTCAACTTCAATTGTGTTTGGAAAAGTTGTCGGTGAATCTTCGTCTGTTGATCAAAATTCAACAACAAACTGGTTGATATCTGTGTGGCCGAATTTACGAAGACAATTTTCTGATAATGAGATATTTAATGCTGATGAAACTGGTCTTTTTACAAATTAATGCCGGATAAAACTTTAAAATTTAAAGGTGAAAATTGTAGTGGAGGTAAGTTGTCGAAAGATAGAATAACTGGCATGGTAGCAGCGAATATGAGTGGCACAGAGAAGAAGAAATTGCTCATTATTGAAAAGTCACAAAAACCAAGATGTTTTAGAAGTGTCAAATCATTACTTGTCGATTATGCTAACAATCATAAAGCTTGGATGACGTCAGAACTTTTTCAGAAATGGCTTCGTGATTGGGATTGTGATTTGGTGAAGAAGAAGAAAAATATTCTATTGCTGGTTGATAATTGCCCGGCGCATCCAAATGTTACTGATTTAAAGTCTATAACACTTGCTTTCCTTCCGCCGAATACAACATCAGTACTACAGCCAATGGATCAGGGAATAATACGATCACTCAAAACGAATTTTAGAAAGAACCTTGTGCTCAAAATGACTAATTGTCTTGATGCTAATGAAAACAACTCTTCTACAAAAATAAGGGTGCAAGATGCAATTCTGATGGTTAATGATGCCTGGAATAAAATGTAACAAAGTACCATTCATAACTGTTTCAAACATGCAGGATTCATTGAACGCCACGACGGTTTACCTATTCAAATATCAAAATATGAATTCGATGAAGAAGACGACATTCCTTTATCTTTATGGTCACGAAACCTAAATTCAGATTCTTCAGCAGCACCCGAAATGTGGGAAGACTATGTTGACATCGATAGTGCTCTCCTCACATCTGAAGAACCCACCGATGAAAATATCGTACAGAACATTAGTGCTAAGGAACAACTAGAAAGTGATGGGGAAGAGGAAGTCAAGGAAGCACCATTACCTACCGCAGAAGAGGCATTAAAAGCTGCACAATTATTCTCACGAGTTGTTTACAGCAATATTGAAAATGACAATTTGACCATAGCTATATCTTCTATACACAATAGTATTAGATACTGCTTTTACAATAAAATAAAAAAAAACAAAAGCAGTCAAAAATTACAGATTACTTACAGTAAAAAATACACTTGTATGTGTTATAATGTGCTGATAACGTGCAATTTTGATTTTGATTTAATATGTTTGTATATGTAATTACTATGTTTCTGTATTAAAATACTTAAGTACATACATATTTACATAGAAAAGGTTTTTCATTTTACAAAACGCATTGCATTACGTCCGCTTATTATGAGTAAGTATATTTATGAACTGTTATTGGCTAAGCCCTGGCTTAAACACTTGGACATAGTTTGGAAATGATATGGTGGATACGAGTGGTGCCTTTTATATTTCGGTATTTCAGAACAAAAAAAATTAATCATCTTAAATCGCTTTTTATTTTTCAAAATATTCTCCATTAAGATCCAAATACTCTTTCATGCGTTTAAACCAATTCTTTAACCTGAACGTATCAACCACCTCTTCAGGTGCCGAAAAACGTTAACATTTTGGTATTTTTTACGTACGGGAATACAAATAATTCATTCGGTGCTCAGTCAGGACTCAAATCATGAAATCGATTTTTTGAGTGCTCAAAAATGTAGTCTTAGGGTTTCTGTCGATGTGTGAGAGCTCTTATTGTCGTGATGAACTTATCCATTTTCGGTGGTTGGTTTGGCAAAAAAATAATTGTGTACCACTCAGAAGTTACTGTTTTGCGTTGTTCTAGGTTGCGACATGTCCAGTTTTTTCAAAAAACTAGGCAACCATTTGCTTGGATATACTTTGTGCGAGAACAAATTTTGTTTTATTCGGCTCATCTTGAAACAACCATACAGTCGACTGCTGTTTACTTTCGGCCTCATTTGCATAAAGCCAGGATTAATCATTAATCATTAGGATTCCGATGTCATAGACGTGTTTTGAAACACCGCCATCGTATTTTTTTAACACTACTCTCGCCCAAACGTCACGAGCGTTTTTTTTTTTGAGCGATTAACAAACTATGTGGTATCCAAATGAACAAATTGTTTTTACTGTCAAATGTTCATGCATTATTGAATCTGTATTGGTCCAACCAGTTGTCTATATGACAATATCAGTTTGTACACAGCATCAGTAGTTTCGGAACAACAACTGTATTAATAATTTAAGCCATCAAAATGTATTGCTTATTTAATTGATATTGGTATTAATAATAACTAAGAAGCAATCAGAGAAGCTTTGACAAAATACCCCCAAGATACCAGCTCGCCCAAACTCTTGTTTATACAGCTTATAAGAATGCTATTTACGTCGAGAAATTATACTTGAGAATATTTTTATAAACCATTGTAGAGATTGGTCTTTTATGCTCGTATACTCTTACTAACTATTTAGCAAGTTGCGGTTCTAACTCTTTGACTTCATTTGCTTAATTATTTACAACCTGGAAAATTTTTACAACAGCGTAGTATTATTTGAAATTGGTATATGAATTGCATTACATATTAGCGCTGACACACAGTTTGCCACTCTGACGATAACACCAAAAACCATATGAACCACTGTAAGTGTATCAAAAAGCGGATATTCATATTAAACTATCAGCAATGTTTTATACAAGTTGCATCTATATTTTAAAGGAATATGTGTTTAAATACTTTTTTTGTGCCAAGTATTTCGGGATACCAAACTGTACATCTGTAATTTGCCCCTGAGTGTTGCTACTATTGTAAGCGTTACCTAAACTGATTTGCTAAACCTAAAAACTGGACAAAAAAACTGTCTCTCTGTGCTAAACATTGCGCACATTCTTAATTAACTTGACTCATATGTATATACATATATGCGTGTTTCGTGATTTGTTTACACCACTGTCTCGTATATTGTTAACAATTTCTTACCAAATTCATTTGGACCAGTGAAAAAGCGCTTACGTACGTAGCAACTAAACTTTGTTTTATAGGGTGATTCATTTCGACTATTCCTACTTAAAAAAGAAAACACACAGAAAATTCAAATTTAATAGAGAACGTTTATTATTATTCAAAAGAACATTCATTGGAATTTATTTGTTGAAGATTATCTCTTATAAATGTTGGCCGCGGCTACGTCTCAGATGGTCCATCCGTTGAGCTCAAATTTCGACGACTCATTCGAGCATTTCGATGTTTTCCTCCAAGGCCTGAATCGAGACGGGATTATCCGCATAAACTTTAGACTTGTTGAAACCAAATATCGCCGAGATCACGAGAGATTCAATTTCATAATTCTAATAGTCGGTTATCATGGCGCAGTAACGATCCCCATTGACGGTTAAGTTCTCACAGGCATCATTTTTGAAGAAATATGGACGGATGATTCCACCGGCCCACAAACCACACCACACCGTGGTTTTTTCTGGATGAAATGGCAGCTTTTGAAACTTTTCAGGTTGCTCTTCATCCCAAATGCGGCAATTTCGCTTGTTTATATACCCAGTGAGACACCCTTTATTCGATTTGATGCTTGTTTACAGCAAACGACGTGGCTAGTAAGAATATTTAATGTATTATTTTGAATACAAACACGGCCTACATTCATATTTAGTTATATATAAAATTGGTATATGAAATGCATCTATGAAGGGTATCATAGCTTCGGTGCAAGCATAGTTAATATAGTGGTTTTGAATTTTCGGCGGACAAAAATTAAGGTACTCCGAATAAGTTAGGAAGGTTATCGCAGTAGGAAGATCCGTACAGTTATCTTTTGTTTTAGCTTATTAGTGTACTTAGTGCAGACGAAAGAGCGATGTAGATTTCTTCATTTTTTCCTTTTTCACTAATTTAAGAAACCATTCAATTCTGCTAATCAATTGAATTTTTCCCAAAAATAGATTAGCCTTTCTGTAGCAATGAATCGTACGAACAACAACTGAGGCTTGAAATTTCTTCCTTTTTGGTTACGAAAATGTATTTTAAATTGTACAGTTGTGGTCTAGTAGTATAACAAACATGGTATTACTTTTCTCACCTTCAAGTAGCATATTGTTCAGATATACTTTTGAAATACCGTAGATTGATTTGAAAATGTTGATGACGTTGGTGATCCTTGAGTGATAAACCGACAGAAACCAAACGCCGATTGGCTGAGTATAAACTATAAGGCATAACGTTTCCAAAAGTAAAAGTGTTATTTTATAACATTTCTTTTGTTGCATTGTTCAACATTGAAGTAAATTAACTTATGCGTAAGAAGCTTTTACAACACTAACGTTAATTTGGGAGAACTTCACCACACAGTAAATAGCAGCTGAACAGTTCCGTTCGCTTGCAGTGATTTTGGTGCTAATTTTCGAAAGCTTTTGTGAGTATATAAGTATATAAAGTCTGACCACTTTATACAACTTAACTTAAAACTACTTAACTTCAGAAATTGTATGACTATTTTATTAATTCTAACTATAACTCACTCTTGAGTTCGATCACTGAATTGTTAAATAAAAGTCCAAATTTAATATCTATACACTTACATATATTTCTAATTCCAACAACTTAACACTTATTGCTCGTTATTCGAGTTTACAACTTATTGCTTTTAGCTTAAATGCTCTTTACACGGCAACACTCTAATTTGAACTGTCTTTGCTTCACAATCCGGCAGCCCTTATACAGTAGATCTTTCACAAAACTTCGTTGCTAGGTCATTCTAGCAACTATGAATTCTCTGTCTAGTTGCCTCTGGCAGTTTATCATCGATTCTAATCTGTTCTGGTATTCGTTAAATTTTAACCTAAGTGAATATAAGAAAAATTTACATTTCTTATTTCTACAATTTCCATATATTATAAAAATGCACCCACATTTGTAACAAAAAGTTTAGAAAAATAACAAAAATAATGCAAAGTAAATTTTCACTCAAAATGTTTAACGCAAATGAAAGAAATTTTAATTAAATCGGAGACAGATAGTTTCTAGTAGTTGTGTGGATATCTAAATTTTTAATCAAAAAGCAAAGCTTTTAATTAACTTGAAATGCTTGAAGCGTGGCAGCGTGCAGTCAAATCGGAAACCAATATACACCCATTTACATGGTTTGAATGTGAGCATACACATATTTATTTCTATTGTATATTGGGTTTTAAACTAACAATTGTGAGTGTATATGTAGGAGTGCGTGCTTTAAGCAATTTCTGCAATGCGATCTACAAGTATTTAGATTCTCCAGAAATAACACTGGTGACTACTCGTGGTTAAATAGTGAATAGTGCTTAATATTGAATATAACGGATGATCCAAGTAGGTATTCTTTTCAATAACCTGTTTTTGACAGATTACTCGTGAGTCATGTTATTTTTGTTCGGTATTGTTTGGTATTTCATCATGGAAGGACTTACGCCTAAACAATGTTTACAAATCGTTCAACTTTATTACGAAAATTCAAGTTCTATCAAGAATGTGTTTCGCGCACTTCACTCAACTAATGTTCAACATAATCGGCCTACCGCTCTTGAAAAGTTCCAAGAAGTTCCGACGTTTCCGAGTAAAATTTTGTTCAGCGATGAGGTCCATTTCTGGCTGAATGGGTATGTAAACAAGCAAAATTGCCACATTTGGGACTAAGAGCAACATGAAAAGATTCGAAAACTTCCATTTCATCCAGAAAAAAAACGGTTGGTGTGGTGTGGTGGTTTCTTAAAAAATGATGCCTGTGACAACGTAACCGTCAATGGCGATCGTTATTGCGCCATGATAACTGACTATTTGATGACTGAAATTGCAGCTCGTGATCTCGGCGCCATTTGGTTTCAACAAGACATCGCCACTTCACACACATCGCATCAATCAATAGATTTATTGAGAGAACACTTCGGTGAGCAAATAATTTCACGGTTGGTTACACCAAGGTCGTGTGATATCACACCGTAATACCTTTTCCTATAGGGATATGTAAATTGTAAAGTCCATGCATACAATCCCGCTTCGGTTCAGGTGTTAAAGCAAAACATCACGCGTGCTATTCGTCAGTTACCAGCCGAAATGCTCGGACAAGTCATCAACTGTGGACTTAATGGATGGACCATCTGAGGCGTAGCCGCGATCAACATTTATAAGAGATAATCTTCAGTAAATAAATTCCAAGGAATGTTCTTTCGAATGATAATAAACATTTCCCATTAAATTTGAACTTTCTGAGTATTTTTCTTAAAAAAAGAGAAAAGAAGATTATAGATCACCCTTTATATACGAGTATAAATATTCAAAGTAAATACGGAAGTCATTTAGTAAAAATTAAACTATTTTAAATATAAATATTGCGGAACATTGTTAATGTCTTGAGAAGCTTAATATAAGTTTTTCCCTTGCTGAAATTACTAACTTTAGCTTGTTGATTCTAACCAATGCTTTTAACCGACAGGCAGAAAAAATTTCTAATCTTAAAGCAGATAATGAATAAAAACTATATTTGAATACTCGTATTCATAGCAATCTAAGTGTAGAATTACCCCTTTGTATTTGCAAAGTTCTAGCTATCCTCCGAGTTCCACCACAAAATCCACAATAAATTTTATTATGAAAATACAGCAATAGCACCCCTAAACCCTTTAAACTTGTTTGCTTACCGATTGCTTCTTGCTCTCCCCTGAGTATGAGCGAAGAGGTAAGCTCTGCTGCTAATGCATTTGCCAATGTCTAAATGTCAATACCAACCGACCAAGTTTGCATATGGCTTACATTTTAGGCATTACATTTTAGGCAGTTTGCGAAGGTATTACTTGTTCTCGATACGGCAATTTAAGTTCAGCAACAACTGCAAATACTATTTCAAATATATGTAGTACAAGATATCATTCACTCTACTATTCATACTTTATCTAAACACTTCATTTAAATAAATATTGCAAACACACGAATACCGTTAGTGTCGTCTTTATGCGGCAATGGTTTAGTTTGTGGAGACGACGCAACAGATTTCGTTACTTTTTTCATAAATATAGCAGATAAAGGGCAATAACTTTTTAATGAAACGCGAATAATAATCCTAAATGTCGTAAGTCTCAGTGGGAATTACTCTAACTCGAACTGTCTAGGAGCTCTTATAAGCCTATATAAAAGGTACGACCATCTGTAGCACTCAATTTTGAAACATATCCAATAGACCAATATAACATAAGAATCCGGCCTGAAACTTATCAGACAGAATTTTGAGTCAGAAGGTGCGAATATATTTTTGTTCCTAGTCTATTAGCAAGTTTGCGAACTTTCTTACAGACAGTCCAACCTAAACGTAGCAGTCTATGCTAGAAGAGAGAATTCGATACAAAATGTTTGCCTTCGATCTTATAAACCCCCCGAAACATAATTTTTTTCAATTAAAACAGTAAGTCGGGGAGAATTCTAAAGGTTCTTACATCCAACTCTGCCTCAAAGCCTGATAAAAAGAAGGAGTAATTATTAAATATCTATTACCCATTTATTTGGGTCTATATCTAGATCTTTCCTGTCTTATTTAAAAAGATATCCGTAATTTAAATAAACTATGATATGAGAGAGCGTGAAGGCCGCAGATCCTTTAGCATTACCCAGGATGCACCGCGCGGAAGCGAATTAGCTCTACATCACTTAGATCTCCAATGCCGTCGTGCGTTTAAGCACGATATCATTTTTGCCTAGAGTAAAGTATATTTTGCCGCAATCGTAGGATTCCTTACTGGACACTGTTCAATAGCAATTCATGCGGTTAAGCGCATTGTCGGACGATAGTTGTCAAAGGTGCATGGAGGAGGGTGTTGTGGAAATATCAAGGCACATCCTCCTCCATTTTTGCCGTTGCAAGTCTGAGGCTGAAACATATCTGTAGTCTTATCTTCGGTGAACCAGAAAACATAGCCGAAACTGATATTAGCCATAGCAACAAATTTGAAATAGGTTAAAAGCACTTTGTCGATTTGTTTATGATATTATGAATGGATCTGCGTTTTAAGCTCTCCAAGTGAGATCCCTCTTAGAACCGACCTCTTAATCTATCGTAACCTATGATACCCAATGGCAACGAATTATACATGAGTAGCAATATTGAAATTGTGTTACTGCTAAATTTATCTTAACCTTCTTTTCTCAATCTACATTTATATTGCCTCTTTTTCGTTCCACAATCGGTTTGTTCGCTGAAGAACAAGTGAGGGGAAATATATAAAAAGAAAAATAAAATAAAATGTAAAATAATTTAAATGCATAGCCATTTTCAAAGTTATTTATTTGTGTTGTTGTTGTTATTTATTTGCGCAGGTCGCCTCACTTTTACATAGCAATATTCCATAATACCAACATGAAGATTTTATCTTCACACTGTAGGTATACATATATATTTGCATACATATATGGGCGTTTTAAGACATTTAAGAATTTATATATAGTCATTTCTAGTTCGCTTCGTTAGTGATACTTACACCTTCATTATAATACGGTAACTTACAGTGCTAATTACCTATATCAAAATAAGGAATATTACAGGCAAATGCATATTCCAAGCGGAATAGTAGGTATAGAAAGGTCCCATGGGGCTCAAAAGAGAGCTTTCTACTCACTTTGAACAAATAGCTCAGTACAGATGGAAACCAACAACCAACTGTAAGGCAAAGAAAATATATGGCCCAAGTATGATAGGACTAGAACTGAGGACTTATTACATAGGTCTAGTGATAGTATTTTCACACTTACAGCTACTATGACGGGGCACTGGCATTTTGAAGAACATACGAAAAAAATAGTTCTGCCCTATAACAATAGTTGCAGGAGCTGCAAGCTAGAATGGAATAAAGAAACCGTTGCCCACTTTCTCTGTGAATGTCCAGCTCTAACACAAACCAGACACAGAATACTTGGAGCACATCAGGCACGAAACCTTGAATGGCTGTCCGCAAAAAGTATGGCGGATATAAGTACTTTCATTGAGATTACAATATGGTTTGAGCGCAAAGATGAAACGAGATAACAATATTATAGAGGTTATACGATAGTCCATCAAAATTGCACATCCAGCGCTAATTGAGCCAGAAGGGGCAGCACTTCTACCTACCTATGATTTGATAATTTGTCAAAACAAGGATATTCATATACTCAAAATTCCCAGATCCGATAACATTGTCATGTGAAATTCTAAAACTTTACATGGCCAAATAATTTATGATAATGTGGAACAGTTATAAGTGAATACTTTTTAAGATATACTGATTGTAAATGTAGATACACTGGAGAAGGTTCAAGAGAAAGTAGGAAATTATACGTTTGAGGGGCTGTACACAATATTATCTGAATACTCTCGGTTAGAGCATGAAGGGTTTATCAAAAAGAAGATTTTTAAATTTTGTTCAAATGGGTTTTGCTATTTATGTTATGCAGATAAGTTATTGCCATGTTCTCGAGTTTCCCGAGCATGGCTGGATGATAGGCGTAAACTTTGGATTTAACAAACTCCAAGAGAACATAATCTAGAGGCGTGAATCGCATGATCTTGGCGGCCAATTGGATTGGACCATATCTCGAAATTAACGAGTAGCCAAACTTTGCGCGCGATGTGTCCATGTTTAGACGTGAAACATGAGGGGCGCATTGGCTTGTTGAAAATAGAGATCGTCAGCGTCGACTACATTAAATTCCGAGAAAAAAATTCGGTCAACTTTGTATTACAACGCTCGCTATTGATGGTAACGGCATTTCTTGCCTTATTTTGAAAGAAATTACACAATCTTGAACGGAAACAGAGCCAAATCCAACCGCAAAATTTGCCATGTTGTCATCAGATAGAGCCAGCTTTGCATAACGTTGTTGAACCGACTGATTCGGATTGGCTTCAACACTGGCCTGAACGGCAGCGATATTTCCTTCATTACGGGTCTTTCTTTGACAGGAAGATGGCACACTATCGTGGCGATTATAATCATTTTCGAATTTTGTAATATGCGTTGAATAGCTCCCTCAGGAGGAGCATTACGACGACCGTATTTAGCGCGAAGAGCTATTGCAGTAGCCACCGGAGAGCGTTGTACCAAAGTGGAACGAGCCCTTATGAAGTGGCAAACTATACTGAACACACTGACAAAATTTGACACAAATCCGTAAACAAATATTCAAGCTACGAGCTCTCAAAATCTCGTCATCCCAATCGCTAGACGCGTTAAGATTGTGTCAGCTGAGCAAAATTAGTAATGAGTCTAAGTATGTTTCTCCTAGAATGATTTCGAATATTTATAAATAAGCAGCTAAACTTTGGACGGATTCTGATAACATCTTGGAATAGTGAACTAAATATGATAAGAACAAAGTTCTGTTAAAAAGGAATTTTTAAAAATAATGTATGGATTTCTTGTGTCCATGATCAATTTTGACAGAGAAATCTCTCTTAAATACTTTGCAATGAAAATTGTATGAATCAGATTAAGGGCATAGATAAACCGCTAAATAATATATCCTGATAT